TATTTATATTTTTAAGTTTTGACCATAAATAATGGGAAGAATACATTAAATTATAATGGGAGAATTGAATTTTGTGCCAGCTCACAACCCCAAACAAGCTAGAGGAATTGAATTGCATAAATAAAAGAAAAAAATGACAAAAGTATATACTCCCTCCGTCCCATGAAACCTTTCTCCTTTCTTTTTTTATCCGTCCCACAAAATATTCTCATTTCTATTAAAAAGTCACTTTTACCCCTTACTTTTTCATACCCTAATTATCACATCATACCTTTTTACTAATAATCTATCCATCAAATCATACTTTTACCCATCACATCAAAGGACATTTTTGGAAATTCAATACCAAAATACACTCCCCTTAAATCCCTCCTAAAAAGCAAAAGTCTCATGTTTCATGGGACGGAGGGAGTATGAGACTAAAACACACTCACAACAAGGAAGATGAAAAATATAGCATTATTTCTATTTTTATCATAAAATATTAAGTACTCCGGTTAATATTGCTGATATATGATACCAAAAATCATTGTGTAATGCGAATTTACAGTATTACATTTTCACAGTACAATTGTTTTATTTTGAAAATCAAAATTTCAATCGTGCTAGGTGTATCCCAAAAATTGTACACCAAAATATATATGCCCTAAAGGTTTACTCTTACATTTTGATGGCTTAAGTTGACACAAAATGTCAGTGGGATTGCAAAATTTTGCACTGACATTTTGTGTTAATGTAAGTCATCAATCTTTCACTCACATTAGCACAAAATGTAAGTGTAAAGTTTTGGGGTACATTTTGAGGTATAATCCGTGGGTACAAGTAGATTTGTTCTAAAAATTTGGGGGGTATTTCTCGAACTCTGCTTATAAGCAGGTCAAAACTACTTATAACATATTTTTAACTTATAAGCCAGCTGATGATATGATTCTAATTTTTATATACTTCTAGCTAGAGTATTTACAAAATAATCTTTCACCATTTATGAATTTTAATTTTCAAAAGATTTATCTATCATTTATGCCATTTTACTTCAATAAAAGAATACATAACTTTTAAGCAGTCTATATATAAATTAAAAACTACTTATCAACAATAAGTCAATGAATACTAGCACAAAGAAATACATATATTAGAGAGTTATATGGTACTTCTGCTTTTTTTAGTGCATGGTACTTCTATTTTGATATAATTAAGGGATGTATTGGTGAAAGACGTCTCGTCGGTCTCGAGTGAGCGATTTCACCCTTTTGGAACAAGAAATAAGGGACATATCTTACTCTCATTTTGGTGATTTCTTTAAATATAGGGCTTTGTTTCTTTTAATGCTGTACTAATTAATTTTCTTCCTCTTTGTTTCTTTTAATTAATGGTGTGGAAAATGGAAATGAAGGTGGCTTGATGATAACAGTTTGACTGGTGATGTTCCTGTTGCATGTTTTGGGATACAAAACCTGTAAGTTGTTTTTATGGTTTTATTTTCATTTCCTTTCGAATTGATTGAATCAAATAGAGTGTTAGAGAATTTTAAATTAAAATAAATAAATTAAAAATAATGAAATGTTTAATTTAAGTTTTTATTTAAATTAAAATAAAAAAATTAAAATAAAAAAAAAGGATGGGGAAAGAATTGAACCACACCACACGCCTAATTAATCGAATAGCAAGACCACCTTTTAGAACTTTTTTTAGACCCATTTTAGAACTTTTTTTTAGAGCCAAAGTTTTTCATGGGGAAAAAACTATGAAAATACCAAAATAAAAGTCATAGATCCTTTAAGACTAAAATAAGAGCTTCCACTGTCATTGTTATATTGTCGCACACACCACATTGTTACATTTTAACTGCCACATTATCACTGTCACAATGCCATTCGTTGGCGCCAGCCATCAAAGTGTCACCGCATATAACCGACTGTTGACTGATCACATTGACATATTACACTATCAGTTTTCTATCACAATGTCATGCCAACACATAGTCCGGTCTTACCTCCAACTATCATTATACTTAGCTTCTATTACGATCTTAAAATACTCAGGACTCATATTTTGATATTTTTATTCTTTTTTACTCCAAGGTGATTTCTTTTTTTTATTTATTTATTATTGCAGTGTCATCAGTGGCAACCCGAATCTGAAAAATGGTAATGGTGTGCCTCCTCCTCCTCCATCCCTTCCGACGTATTCCGCCGGTCCGAATTCAACTCATCCCAAAAGGTTCATTTAATTCGTCCCTAAATTCTTTTATAGCTTCATAATTTATTTCTCCATCTGATCCAAAATTGGTACACGACTTTATTTGAGAAGCAAGAACATTCATCCAGTGGTAGATTCAGAAAAATATTTTACTCGGGGCACGGGTTTGGAGGCAGGAATCCCGAAGAGCCTTTTTTTTTAAGTCATTTATATATAACGATGAAAACTGAATAAATTTAATTTCAAACAAGTTTTCAAATGGGTAAGATAAAATATTTTTAAACTAAAAAATATAATTTAAAATACGGAGTATATCATAACATAATATCATTGACTAAATAATTTCTTTTATATGTTATTTAAATAATTTCTTTTTTTCATTTAAATTATACTCCGTAATTGTTTTTGTCACTGGGAGGCACATAATTTTTTTCACTTGGGGTGCTCTTTTAATTTACCACACAAAAAAGAAAATTACATTATATATTAAAAAAAGGGCATGCTAGGGGTATACCAAAATGTTGTACCTCATTTATATATCAGACAAACATAGACAAACACAAACACTTATATACTAAAATCTATAAAATGAGTATGTACCTTAGGAAAAATTTTCTTATTATTTAAATATAATTAATTATATTTAATACTTGTAAATGATTATCTAACTAATTGTATTGAATTGATACTCCGAAGTTCGGTGCCACTAGCGGTGCCACTGGCATTTTGGGGCACCTCCGGTGCTCCGTTCGCAAAATTGACGGTTCCTACCCCCCCTAACCCACCCCCTTAACCCCCCACCCTACCCCCGCCCCTGCACCCCCACCTTAACCCCGCCGTAAGCCCCCCACAAATGTGTGGTTATTATGCGACGCATAATAACCACACATTTGTGGGGGGCTTACGGCGGGGTTAAGGTGGGGGTGCAGGGGCGGGGGTAGGGTGGGGGGTTAAGGGGGTGGGTTAGGGGGGGTAGGAACCGTCAATTTTGCGAACGGAGCACCGGAGGTGTCCCAAAATGCCAGTGGCACCGGAGTGGCACCAGATTCCAGTGTCACTGGAACCGGCCCGTTCATAGTATTCATCTTTTTTTTATAAGTATCTCTCGTAGAATATGTAGATCCGATCCAAATGAAATTTATGATTCATCTCTTCCACTATTTTTGTTAAAAAAGATATATTCATTTCACTTCTAATTTATAAAATACTTGTATACAATTTTAATAGGTTTAATTTTTAATTTTTTTTACACCAATATTGAGATAAATTTCATCAAAAGACAAGTGGGTCAAACATCCTAATAAACCGTAATGGGACAAAATAAGTTGACCGAGGGAGTCCACTTATTTCTTGACTGAATCATTGTTCATGCACAATCTTAAGTGGTAAAGTCTAAGACAATACTCCATTTGTCCTTAAATAATATTTTCATTTGGATTAGTGTTTCAATAATTTTATTTTTCTAATTAATTTATTTAAATTAATGTATAATTAAAAATAAAATTTATATATTTAAAAATTAGATAGACTAAAGCTTTACAAAAAAAAAGGTAAAATGATACTCCGATCCATATATGTTAAACTAGGGATGGGCAAAAATACCGGCCCGATATTGTTCCGAACCAAGCCGATATTGTACCAAAACAAAAGGCAAGTTTTTAAATGGTTTTAGTAAATTATTTCACGAATCGAACTGAACCGTTTTCAAAATGGTACGGGACGAGTTCTCAAAAATAAATACCGAAAATACCAAACCAAACTGTTACCACTAAAATATTTATTTGGTGTGACTTTAACATAGTTTAATTTATCTTTTTATAGTACTTTATTACCCCGAAATATAACTCAAATTATAATTTTATTTGTTGAAAATCAAACTATAATTATGTTTTGTCAAAAATGGTAACCAAATAATACACTTGTTGAGTAAGAATGCATAAAAATATTGGGGCACCAATTTTTTTTAATTACGTCGATTGTTTATTATGAATAAAAATATTTTCAAAATGTCGAAATATTATGAAATGATTTGGCATTACTATGACATGGTACCATATATCTTGTTACCGATTGACATTACCAAACCGTTTGAATAGTAACAGCAATATGGTACGAATTTTATTAAAAATACCGAATCGTCACAGTCTCTGTCTACCACTTTTTACTGTAGGATGGGATGGATGGTGGTGATCACAACAATAAGTCTTTGTCTCGCCGTGGGTCGTTAAAAGGAGGGGAGATGCTAGGGGTACACCAAAAGTGTACCCCATTTGTCCCCCACCCCCTCCATAACCACTCATTTGGATTTGATTTTTATTTACTTATTTTGTTTTAATTTTCTTGCCTATTTGAGTGGTTATGGAGGGGGTGGGAGACAAATGGAGTACACCTTTGGTGTTCCCTTAGCATTTTCCTAAAAGGAGACACGAGACCAATTGCTGATGACGTCATCCAATGTCCCCGTGTGAGGTCATCATCGATCGTTTGCAACCCTATTTATCCACATGCATTATGTTTTTTTTTTGTTGTTACTTTCTTTAATTTTGTACCACGGTGCATTTATATGTGGAATAATAAATTTGCTGGAGAATTACTCTCTGAGAACAAATCAATGTGTAATATTGTAATTGGGTCGAACGAACGATTTTTGAATACCACTTTTCACATCATATATAAACCCTCCTGATGCGTTAAGACCGGGCCGGGTATGAAGGGTTTACCGATAAGTAAGATGGGATAAGATCAATCAATTTTACGGTCGAGCACCAATTGTAAAAGCCAGAGGGGAAAAAAGAACTCAATAAATGAACATATGATTATTAGTCTCTTTGCTGCCCATATAATATCCCTAGTATAGATTTTCAATGGCTTCTGATTACTAAAACTGGAGCTTTTCCTCATTCACCGTCTCCGTTGTCTCCGGCGGCAGTCAAAACAATCAGTGCACGGCGGAGATTTGCTTCCTCCACCGGAGGAGGAGGAGGAGCCGCCTCGGAGCTTGGAGGGCGACACCTTCAAATCCTCCACCAGAATTTCGCGCAGTTTCTGGGTTTGTCGTGTCAGCTCTTCAATCGCTTGTTGGTGTTTCAGCACCTGAAACACGAGAAAATTCTTCACACTCCCCGCAGATAATCTTTCCAAGAAGAGTTCGTCTCGCATCGACTAAACATGAATTAATAAACCAATACACTCCCTTCATTATTAGATACTCCGTAACAGTCTATTACGACTTTTTGGATGCATTAGATTTTGAATGAAATAATGAGTGTGGAGAGACGTTATGTCTACGTCTATTTGATTCTTAATACATCTATCTCAAACATGTTCTGTGACCACTCGCTTTGAGTGACCACAAGGACACTGTCCCTCTACGGTGCTTCGTTCGCAAAATTGATAGTTCCTACCTCACCTAACCAATTTTGACCTCAAAGTCAACTAAACTTACGGGGTGTAATTGACGTGAGTGGGGGATGGGTTGGGGCAGGGTGGGGGGGTTTACCGGGGGTTGGGAGGTAGGAACTATCAATTTTGCGAATGGAGCACCACAGATGTCCCAATTGATACAGTGTCCTCCGTGGCCACTCAAAGTGAGTGGCCATAGAAGATGTTTATATCTAAAAAGTCATAATAGACATTATTAGTTTAGGAATGGAGGGAATATAAGATCTTTGGACTAATGCGGATAACATTGTCATGCGCAATTTGGCACGGAACGGGTTCCGTGACAAAATTCGTGACAATGTTCTCTGTCAAGGAAAATTCTATTCTACGGTCCATGACATGCCACATGTTTTTCACCACCCCTGAAAAAAGAAAGATTTACGGGGTCAAGTGACCAAAAGGGAACTCTTACCATTTGAAGCAAGTCGTTCTCCAACCTTAAGCGCTCAACCTGCAAATGTCAAACATTGTTGTTTTTTAATAAAAAAAGTCTTCATCTTAAACAAATATCTGATAGAATTATTATTTCTTTCAACAATAAACTCTAAAAAAATAATAAATAGACATATTACACTCCAAACTGTAACAACCACAAGATGATTGGGATCCGTGGCACAGAATTTTAAGTTCATAGTAGTACTATAAATTCGTTCGTGTAGAAAAGTATCGTAGAAATATTTAGCGCGGGATGCCCTTAAAACCTTATAATGATCGTTTCCAAGAAACCTCTGACTCAAGCACATAAGAGTGGATAACTTTCTATCATGAAAAAAAAAACAATCTCACGTACCAACTCATGCCCGCTATTCTCTCCATCCTTTAAGAGTGGGCTCTGCAAGAAGTTGCTGATGACCGTATCCATCCGGCTGCTATGTGATGCATTTGAGGGATTTTTCCCCAAACCCGGCGTTCCCAAAGAAGAGGAGAAAGAGCTCAAATTCCCATCTTTAGGAAAGAAATTCTCTACGGCCATAGACTGTAACGGCATTATGTTTCCCAAAGGACTGCCACTTTGAATAGATTTAGGAACAATGCCTTGAGCAACAACAACAGGCATGTTGAAAGACGGCCCAAACTTCATCATAGCTTTTGCCGCGAGTTGCTTGTAAATTAGGAGGCCGGGTTATGTGAAATGTTGGAGAGAAATGAATTGTTTTTTAAAAGAAAAAAAAGAGCCTTGGACAGGGATGCATACAATGAGACATGATTGAATCTTCTGTACCACTCCGGGCTTAACAGCAAGACCTGACATTTATCACCAATGTTTTGCTGTTTAACATAGAAAAATAATTGTGGAATGAATAGGCAATAAGTGATAAACAAAAACACACAACATTTATGTCCTGAGGCTATGTTTTTTAGTCGGGGTGTCTTGAAAACAACCACTTCACTTTTGAGTAGGAATAAGGCCCCACACACCCTCTCAGACCCTACTTTTTGTGGGATTTTATTGGGTTCGTTGTTGTTGTTGTATAAGAGCTATGTTTCTAAACAAAAAATGTCATTTGGCTACACACAAAATGCTGTTTTATCTTGGAAAATGAGATATGATTAATTTGTTTAGTTTTTTTCTTCTTCATACATTTAGATTTCAACTCCTATATTTTTCTTCAAAGTTTCTTCCCTTCCCCTTCTTTCTATTTTCCTTCCCAAGTAGTTTCCAAGCCCCAAACAAACACCAAATGGATCGACTTTTTCCTCAGGTTCCAAACAGACCGTAAATGTGAGCAATAACACAAATTCCAATCTATGCTTGTATAATGGCAATATCTTCTGATACATACCAATACCAAAGCCATGGCCAAAGCCTATTCCACATCCAATGCCAACTTCAATGTTCTTTGCCCCCAAACGCCGCAACTATAAAAATGAAAAAAATTATACATATACAAAAACAAAAACAAAATTCCACCCACCCCAAAACAGTGTCATACATTGTGTTGGTAGAAGCATATCACCGAATATAAACAAAAAAAAATAGATATAGAAAAGTGTCTTACAGAGTTATTGACATTCCTTCCTACACCGGAGAAAGCATTTGTGGCACCTCTAGTTGCAACCATAACTTGGTTTAGCATCGGAATTCCGGCTGATGCAGGAAAGAAACAAACAAGTAAATAACGGTAACCAAAACCAGAGAAGCGATTCTGAGGAAAAGAATATATGGTTCACAAAATTTCCCTCCCCCAATAACATTTCAACTACCCATTTTTCACTCTTCAACATTTTTTTTCTTAAACTCTATGGAGTCAAACGCGGACTATAATTTTAAGGACAGAGGGGGTTTGTTTGTTTTAGAGTACATATCAATCAGTGGGTTTATCGAAATAAACATAGCAACCAAATGTAGTACACCTTAGGAAACAAAATGGCATTTTCTTCCACGACTCCTCCACCAAACACCAGAAACAACAAGAACAAACAAACCCAATAGAATACCTCAGAAATAGAGTCTAGTCTTGAGAGGTTATGTGTACGCCAGCCTTACCCCTACCCACTTGGGAGGGTATGTGTCCGTGGGCATTACTCCTACTTATGAGGGTATGTGTACGCAGACATAAACAGAAATAATTCAAAAAATAAAACATGGAAACAGATCCCTAGCATGAATTACAGATTATAGAGTAATAGAAACCTAGGTGAAACACAGTACACATACACCTCTGTGAAAACACAGACTAACAGGAAATCAGAATCTATGTTAAATCTCATGCGGAGTGTCATTTTTATTGTCTTTAGACCTCATGAGACTTCAAAGTTCAAATCTTTTTTAAAATTCTGGCACAGAAGCACCCAAAAGTCATGACAAAGGCTCAAAAACAAACACCACTTTAACAAAGAGGGGAAGAAATTACTTGAATCTTTCTGGCATTTCCTGTTTCTGGGTTTCAAAAAATCTTGAAAATTCATGTCTCCCTTTCTATCCTCCGCTTATAAAATAAAAACAAATAATATATATATATATATATATATATATATATATATATATATATATAGAGAGAGAGAGAGAGAGAGAGAGAGAGAGAGAACCGAGGTTTAAAGGGCGGCCAACGCCGATGCCAAAGCCACAGCCGATTCCAAAGCCGGTGAAAACTTGACCCACTTTCAAAGAAAACGGATTCTCTACTATCACTCCACTCCCACTCTTGGAATCCATCTCCATTCTCTTGCCCAATTGCCCAATTGGTATAGGTAGTGAGGAGACTGGGATTTAGAACCAGGTCGGCTATTCTTTTGTGCCCAACTTGTAAAACTTAGATTTCTAATTATAAAAGGTTTCTTTTCTAATAGCGTTCGAGATTAGCGTTAGCGTTTTGAAAAAGCTATCTACGGCCAACATTTAGTGTTAGCATTTTTAAACTAATATGTACCATTAAAATTTTATCTAAAACGCTAACGTTAATCTCTAACGTTATTCCCAAACAGACCCAAAATGTTTCAAAATTAAAATAATGATTATTTTAGAATAAACAACACATTATTACAAAATGAATATTATGATGAATAAGCTTCGAAATGAATGGTAGAGTTGAAAATTAACATTTTGTGAATTCAAAATGAATATTCACCGAATGTATCTAGCTCTACGTATAATTGAATGTACAATATACATTTTCTAACTGTAGAACGGTTACGATGAACCGAATGGCAACCGAGCGATGGAGCTGCATAAGTTGGGGTGATATGAACGTTAGGAACCATTTTTGTGTCCAATAAAGCAATGTAAGATTTTCAAAAAAAAAATACGTCCTTCCTAAAATTAAGTGTTACTTTGATATTTCGCTTAGGGTCGGATATTGGATTTACAAATAAAAAAGAATTAAGAAAACCGTAGTACTGGGGTAAGAATAGGGCGGGAGTCTAAGAGTAACATTTTGAAAGCCAATGTGAAACAACAAAAAAATGTTAAATTTCATTTTAATGTTTCAAGTTACTATGCATAATTTATATATAATTAAGTAAATAAACACTTTTAAATTCCAACATAAAAGTATAAACTTTTATAGTCGGTATTATTTTTACTCTCAAATTAAAAATACATGTCTGATTAGAAAATTAATGAATTACTTTGCCTATTTATCAACACAAACTTCTTATTTCATGTACTCCCTCCGTTTGGGAAAACCCTTCCCACTTTGAAAATAAGGCAAATTAAGGAAGTGTAAAATTATAGTTGACTTCCAATTTTGCCCCTGATGTGATGGGTAAAAGTAAGATGTGATGAATTGATTATTAGAGAAAAAGTATGATGTAATAAGTAGGGTATGAAAAAGTAAGGGTAAAAGTAGTTTTTTAATAGAAAGGAGAAGTGTTTTGTTGGAAGTGAAAAAAATGAAAGAGGAAGTGTTTTTGAGAAGGGAGGAAGTATAACTTTTTGGTGTGTGTCCAATCTTCCAGATTTATTTCTGTGATGCTTTATATTGTGACAGTATAAGCTAATGCAACGCCCCTTAAGAAATCTCTCATTGTGACGCTTTGAACATACTCCATATGTATATGATGCCCATAACATCATCGTTTTTACATTTAGCGTCAGAGATGATGGTGTAAATTATTTTGATCGAATATATCGTTCTTATTCGGATAAGGACGATAGACTAGTTCAACAAAATATATCAAATTACAAACAAATAAATTTTTATGTTGGGACTCAATCGGGAGAAAATTATGAACTTTTTTGGAGGAATCTTACACATGAGTGATTTTTATTTATATCGGCTTTGTTTGGTAACAGCGTTTTCGATTAGCGTTAGCGTTTTAGATAAAATTTTAATGGTGCAGATTAATTCTGAAAACGCGAACGCTAAGGGCTACCGTCGGATAGCTTTTTCAAAACGCTAACGCTAATCTCTAACGCTGATGCCAAACAGGGCCATCATAGTTTTAATCTACTACACATATTTTTAGCTCGAAAAAAGTCAATGGTATGGGGTGGCCGTTATTATTGACCAGTAAGAATGAGCTTAACAGCCGCCAACTCAGATCAACGGCTGCTCTATAAATATCTTATCAGTTCTTCATTTATATATATCCCCAAAATCGTCGCCCCCCCCCCCCAGATTCCCATCCATGGCAGCATTGATCTCCGCCGCCCATCTCCTCCGTCAGAGGACGCCTCTTGCGCCGCTCCGTACAAGAGCACTCTCATCGCGTTCTTCCAAGTCCGGCGAGACCAAATCCGAAGAGGTGGTGATTGTGGGGGCCGGGATTGCTGGGCTGGCCACCGCGGTTGCGCTGCGGCGGCTGGGCGTCGGAAGCAGGGTGGTGGAGCAGGCGGAGTCTCTGAGGACCGGCGGGACGTCGCTCAGCCTGTCTAAGAATGGGTGGAAGGTGTTGGATGCCATTGGAGTTGGAGGCAACATCAGAAGCCATTTTCTTCAAATTGAAGGGTAAAATGTTCCCTTTATCACTCCCTCTGCTTCTATCGTGCTTACTTCTTCACCAATTTTGAATATAAAGTGAAATTATAAGGTGAAAGTTTATGTTGACTTATTACAAATAAGAAAAAATTATTCAGAATAAATAAGGAGTGGTCCTGTATAGTGCTTTTCAAAAAAATACTCTGTATACTTGTAGTTATTTTTTTATTTTTTTCATTTTCGTTATTTTTTATATCTACTTTTTTATTTTTATCCAAAGTGTGACTAATCTTTAAAAAAAGAAAAAGAAATGATGGAGGTAGAAAGCCATTATAAAAAGTTAAATGAAAATTTCAAAAATAAATAAAAAACGAAAATTCATTAAAAATAAAATTAACTTTCATTTTGTTGAGCAAAACAAGCCGTTTCCGTTAATCCGCGGTTAACAACTTAATGTCGACCCAAAACTCGTAAATTTCAGCAAAGTTGGGATTGTTATGCATCACAATGAAATGTGAGATTATTTTTGAAAGACCGGATAAAATTGGATTATACTACTAAACAATACAAAACTTTTCTTAAAATTTTCCAAAAGTCCCAAGCATCTGTGGGAAAAAAACATTTTGACGATTTTGTCTTGCCAATAGTATTCCATTTACCAAGTTCCACAAACATCAGCCTAATGCATTGACTTTGTCTAAACAACTCAGTATAATCCCAACTTCATTCAGGTCTGAAGAGTCAAAATGTATGTAGTCTTATAATCTTATTCCATTGCGAGGCTATTCATGTTAGACCTTAAACACATTGTTGCATTTACTCTCCAAAACTTCTGAGAATGTAATAAGGAAAGTTTAATGTCCCATTTGGATTAAGTCCACTTTCCTCAATAGTGAGTTCAAATTAAGACTTGAGAGAGGAGAACAAGTTGTGAATGAAAGGAGGAAGATAAGTTCAACCTATTGATTTTGTTGTAATATTTGGGTACAGGGTGGTCTTAAAGGCCGAAGACGGGAGGCAATTGCGCTCTTTCTCGTTCAAACAAGAGGACCCGAGGTTGTTGGCGTTCTCTTTTCTTCATATTCCCCGCCGAAATTCATCTTTGTCTTTGTGATTTGTTTTGTTGTTCTTGTTGTTGATGGAGCAGCCAAGAGCTGCGCGCCGTGGAGAGGAGAGTCGTGCTAGAATCACTAGCCAACGAGCTTCCTCGAGACGCCATTTCCTTCTCCTCTGGGCTCTCAAAGATCGAAAGACTCGAATCCGGGAAAACGTTGTTGGAACTTGAAAACGGGTCGCGGTTAACCGCAAACGTATGCCATTTCGTACCCACCCATCCATCCGTTTGAGCTAAGTATCATTTGTTCGTTCAGTGACATGAGACTCATTCTTTGATGCAGATAGTGATTGGTTGTGATGGGGTGCGGTCTCGTGTGGCAAAGTGGATGGGGTTTTCGGAGCCGAAGTATGCGGGCCATGTTTGCTTTCGAGGGATAGGAACGTACCCGGAGGGACTTCCGTTTGAGCAGAGAGTGCAATACACATATGGAAGAGGAGTGCGTGCTGGTTTTGTGCCCATCTCTAAGAGTAAAATCTACTGGTTCATAGTCTACAACAGCCCATCACCAGGTATATATGCATTTGTGTTGTTTGACATCTAGTGGTTAGCCTAAGGTCGTCTTCAGCTAAGGTTCCAAGCAGAGAGAGCAGGTCCTTATGTATGGTCTGTTAGTACACAATTTTAGTCTTTTAGGTGCAGAAGATGATCATTGCTAATTGAAGTGATGAAATGAGAGATTGAGAGTACAACCTTGGAGCCTAAGGTTGTGTGCAGCTAAGTTGCACAGAGACGGGTCGGAAACGGGTAATTAGCCAACTTTTCTAAATTTTACAAAGAATTTGTGTGCCGAGACGTCTAGAAGTACCCAAACGGGGACATTTTTGGGACGGGAAATGGCGCTTGTTTGAGGAATCCATGCGATAGAGGTGTTTGGTGGGAGAAGATTTGGGGGGAGGGGGAGTTCATATATTCGGGTCTATGGTTTAGTTATCTATTGAATACGAGTGAAATTGGCATCCCAACTCGAAGAGCCAACACCACCCTTCTTCAAATCCCCTCCAACCAAACGCGCCCTTAGTGTCGGTGTTTTAAAGTTTGTACTTAAAACAACAAAGCCAATAACATCCCACAAAAAATAATGTCTGAGGAGAGTGTGCATACACAGACCTTACCCGTACTTGAAAGTAGAGAAGACAATATTGTACTAAGAATTCTGGAAAATATCTAATGGCAGGTCCAAAGATAACTGATCCACAGGTTATGAGACAGCAAGCGCAAGAACTAACAAAAAGTTGGTCACCGGAGTTACCTACCATCATCGACAACACCCCAGACGAGACACTGGTACGGAATCCCCTTGAAGACCGTTGGTTGTGGCCATTGACTAGTCCTCGGGCATCTTCCGGTAGGGCCGTGCTGGTTGGGGACGCGTGGCACCCAATGACACCCAATCTCGGGCAGGGGGCATGCTGTGCGTTAGAGGACTCAATTGTTCTGTCCAAGAAACTTGCAGGGGCAATCGCGTCCGGCAATGCTTCCGTTGAAGAAGCATTCAGAGAGTATGAAAGAGAGAGATGGCCCCGCATTTTCCCGCTAATGATACGTGCACATCTTGTGGGGGCGTTCTTGCAGTGGGATAATGCAGTGGTGTGTTGGATCAGGAACAATGTGATTGTACCTAAGCTGTTGAAACTTGGACCAATGCTTAAACATACAAATTTCGAATGTGAGCCTCTAGGAAACAAGGCTGTTTAGGCAACTACATTTTGATATCTATACTAGAGAGTAAAAATTTATGAACTTTTGGTTTGTAATACAATAAGCCATCTGTTTGGCAGTGTAAATCAAAACAGAAACTATATTTCGAATGAAAATGGTACATGATATATAATTTATATACTATGTAATAAGCCTATGAGTTCAAAAAATATGTGTTGAAAATGGAGAGAGTAAGAATGTATAAAAAGAATTATCTGTCATCTGGCAGACCATATGGATCATCAGAGTCCTCTAGCAACTGCTCTGATCTCAAGCTGCTTTCATCCCATATGGCCATTGACCTCACTCACAATTACAGAACCATTGAATCTGGAAAAAAAACAAATACATATACTGGCCATTTACATTCTATTATGGTATAGAAGTTTATTGACCAAAAGGCTCTAATTCTAATCAAGAAAACAAGTTGGTATGGACTATGGAGTATCAAGTTTTAAAAGTTCCATCAACTTTGTGGTCCAAACATCCAAGACTTGATAGGCTGAAAAATAAAATGCAATAAGGGATATACATGTGCTTCTAATTAGTTAGTTTATAATAGTAAAATAATAAGAAACACTATGAACAGCTCCATCTAAAAACCCCTTATTTCAAAAATTTGTTTTCTCCAAGCAAAATTGAAAGCATTCTTTAAATACATTTTTTCTTAAATTGTACTACGTAACAGTTTTGTCTTTAGTAGACCCTCAGTTCCTGAAACATCTCAACACTTTCATTCTTTGTCGGTTTCGACATTATCACTTATTCTTTCTCTTTAAAGAAGGCAACATGAATCTTGCGTTACATCTCTTTCTTCTAACAAATTCAATCATACAGTTTTAAATTTCTTTAGTTTTGGTACCGGTTTAGCCAGGCAATAATAAAAGGACCAAGGGAGTATTTACATAAGCAAATTGACTAGGAAGCTCGGTCAGCAATGTTTGACTTCAATCAGTTCAATGGCAAAAGCATATCAGAAGTTCTTCAGGAAGATTAATGGAATGATTACAAGAAAGTTTTTGAGCCAATACACTTGCAACACAAAGATGCGCCACTTTCGAATATTTTTAGTGCGTGAAATGAAAACTGAAAATATTACCAGATTGGAATCTTTTGGATCTGCCAAACTACTTGTAGCATTCCTCAGACTCCTAAAAATTGAGAACCATAATGCGTCATTATCTTGTATTACAGCATAAAGGATATGCATTTTTACCAACCTTCCACCAATCATTATATATAAGAAGTCAAAAAAATGTTTTGGAGAACTAAACTTTCATATGATACAAATTCTTTAAGTTTGGAGTTAGAGGCCAAGACAAAGAAAAAGATAATAACATTAAAAATCAATCTAGCACTCTAAAATGAAGTGGGCAATTCGTTAATAGTTGCCTATGCATGAGGCTATCAGCAACTCAATGAAAATGGCTATTGGCCTCTTTGGGTTGGGAACATTAGTCTGCCTAAACACACCTAAAGCTAGGCTTCCCTTCACAGTCTACATCATTTTTCATTTTCCCGTATCCAACCGCCTAATCTTGGCTACGCTCCTCCAAAGTCCAAGCTCCGCCTAGGGGTAGTTTTTTTAAAGCATTGCCTTTTAGAGTATTAGTGATTACGATTTGTAGCCTTTTAGACATCATCCTAATGATCACGATTTGGAACCTTAATCTGTTTTATTATCAAGAGGTTATTGAGAACAAAGCAATCTGATTGTGCCAAAACCGGACTTCACCCTTTCATGTTTTTACATAAAACCCGTAGCTGCAAACTTATGTGAATCTTGTGTATTTTAACCATACTAATCTGTTGGGATGAAGGTTTCTGTAGGCATTTGGATGGTGAAGCTACGGCCTACGGAGGACTTTGTCTATGTCTATATAAATAGAACGAAAAACAAATACAGCGTGATTGAAATACACACTAGAATATGGACTAACCCCTTCAAAGGATTGCCCTACAAATTCCTACATCCAAAAAGACCCTAAGTGGCTATATTTTCATCGTACAGTTTACACCATGTTTAGCAATTTCATATTCCAATATGGTGATCAATTGTAAATTCCACAGAACAAGCACAAAGTAGTGAAACTGCAATTCATAATGTCTCATACATCTACCTGCATACATACAATATATGGCATACCGAATTTCAAATCCAGCCCTTATTTAATCGAATTGAAGAATCAAGCAAGTGCAGTTGAAATCAATGACAATTTGGATACCTTGACCGGAGAAAAGCCACAGAACGATGACGGACAAAAAGAGTATCAGCGGGATGAGATGCACGAAGTTCCCCGATGATCTGAGCCGGTCTCTCTCCTTCTTTGCGAGATAAGATCGGGGGTTGTAAGTCGGCAACTCGTCAGAGTCGCCTGCGAACGCCAATCTGAGATTCGGAGAAGAGTAGGCGGGTAATAGAGATGAAGACGACGATGAATGTGGAGAGAACTCCGAGATCCTGCTGGAGCTCGATGATCTGTGCATGGTGATCGCGCCGGCGGGAATGGAGCCGGGAAATGGTCCGTACAGAACTTGGACTCTAGCCTACGGAGTAGATTCCTATTTAATTACTCTATTTCTTCTTTACAGCTGGCAAGATTTATTTGGTACATCTATTTACAAAAAAGATGACTCCCATCCCTGAGGTCCCCTCAGACTTGATCGGACGTTCACTGAGATAAAGTAAATTGATTAATTGAAGATTTGTAACAAAGAGTAGAGCATGCACTCGGTACTTGCAGAGTCCCTATGCTTAGCATAATTGCCTCCCAGTGCAGTTGCCAGGAATCGAACTCGAATCTTACCCTCTTGGCACCTCTTGCCTTGCCAACTGCACAACGTCCACCGGCGTAGTAGATCTATTTACAAAAAAGAAGGATGAGCTTATCCCCGAGAACTCCCTCATAACCGATCGGACGGTCACTGAAAGAAGATAAGTTGGATTTTGATCGTAGATTGGTGGTAAAGAGTGGCACATGCACCTGATAGTTACAGAGACTCTATGTTAAGTATAGTTGTCTCTCAGCGCAGTTATCCATAATCGAACTTAGATCCTACCCTCTTGGCATTCATTGTCTTTGTTAACTGCGCAACGCCCATCGGCGGTAGATCTATTTACAAATAAAAAGTAAAAGAGTCCCTCCTAAAAATTGCCTCTTTGATTTTGACAAAATTTCTAAAAACTGAAAAGTGTTATGATTAAAATTTAATAACAATCTACACAAGATAAAAATAATGAGTCATTGTTTCTAAAGAAATTATGAAGATGTCTTAGAAGGGACGAGAAACAAAAGAGTGGAACATATTTTTGCAAAATGAATAGAGTAGATTTGCATTGGTCTACATATATACCACAAATTTTGTTTGTGAAATTAGTATTTGATGTAAAAAAGAGAAAATAATACTTCAGACTAAGGTTGTAAATGAACCAAATAATTTTGATTTGATTCGTGATTTAGTATGAATAGTATTTGTTATTCATTACATTAAGGAAAACGAATAAAAATATATCAATATTTGATATAGTACCTAAATGAATGTGTTTGAAATGACGTCAAAATTGTAAATACTAAAAAATAAATAGGGAGTTCCCTAAATGCTTAACCATAACATATGTTTTCATCTTCAACATATAAATTATGAGTATATACTTTAATGTGTCAATAACTATATTTGCAAAATGAGTTTTTCAAAGTAATGATTTTATATAAATCACATTTTTAAAAAAATAAATTAAATAGTTAAGTGAATCGAATACTTTTAAAATGAATAATTTTTTTAAACTAATCAAATATCTTATGTATGATAACGAATTAAATATGACTCTTTGAAAATATTTAAATCAAGTTTGGATATGAATACAAATACCATCGAAATCTACCAAATACAAATACTACTTCTGTCTCACTGTCTTTGTCCACATTTGACTTTTGGAACTGTTCATCTAAGCACTTTGACTCATCAAAATCTATCAATGTGTAAGCCTAAAAATAGTCATGTGTGATCTTGTTTGATTCGTCTTAACATATAGATTATTAATATATAATTTCTATAATTTTTTAATATACAAATTACAAGATAAAATGGATTAAAGAAGTGCATTGGATGGTGTGCCAAAAGGTAAGTGGACAAAGACAGTGGGACGGAGGGAGTAATATTTATGAATATTTGTTCGGGTTCGGTTGGTCTACTTCATATAAGTTTTCGAGTCGTCCTAAGATTCAATTACGAAATGCGAATCTTTTCACATGTTTTCTATGAGCTAATAATTAGATCTCTTTTAATTATTATATATATTAAAGTCTATAAAGTTAACATGGATCTAAAGACCACATAACTTAAGTTTTCTTTTTTCTATGAGCAAATTTCAATGAAAATTGATCTCTTCTCTATTTGGGCAACTAGGCAAGGGTAATGTTAAGTATTCCCCAAATGAAGTACCTTATTTGTAGGCAATGCATTCATAGACACGTACAAATTCTCTATCTTTGTACATGTGAAGAGTTTGTATTTGTATGTGAATGTCTGAAGTATTTTTGTCTCTATTTTTTAGTTGAGAAATTTACTTAAATAGTACTAAAACATAATGGTTTTCTTTAAATACAATTATTTGTTTTTATTTCCCAATATAGCACTTTTAGTCATTATCTATTAATCATTATTCAAGCAAATGTTCACCATCATTGGATATTATTCCTCCTTCTAAACATTATTAAATGTTATTTAGAAAATAAATAATTTCAAATGCTACATTAAAAATATCTTAGGGTCCGTTTGGTACACGGAATTGATGGAATTGGAATTGAATTGGAATTAAAATTACATGAGATTCAATTCCATAGAAGTGAATTCATCAATTCCAATCATTTTTTGCACTACGAATTCCAAATCTACATAACTTTTATGCTACCAAACACGAAAATTAGAATTGAAGTCCTCAATTTCAATTTCATAGTTTGAATTTCGTGTACCAAACGGGGCCTTAAGCTTTAATACTCCCTCCGTCCCTAAATAAACTTTCTTTTTTAGACTTTGAGGATTTAAAGGAGAGATATTTTTGTGTTGACTTTCCAAAAATACCCTTGATGTGTTGTGTAAAAGTAAGATGTGATATGTAGATTATTAGTAAAAAGGTATGATGTGATAAGTAGGGTATGAAAAAGTAAGGGGTAAAAGGGGTTTTTTAAAGGAAAAGAAAAGTTTATTTGGGAACAAAGAGAAAACGAAAGGAGAGTACTAAATACAAATTTTTTTTGGATGTAGAGAATGTTTCCCCGGACATATCCAAACTAAAAATCCCTTTATAGGAATTCAGAATTCTAGCAAAGGACGGAAAGTGAGAACACGCGGCAGTTTTCTAGCCAGGCCGCCACGTCATTGCCGGAAACTTCCAACTTTCTCGACAGGTTGGCCTTCTTTAAGAAGTGGGACTCCTCAATCCCCACCACATCTTTGACATTTTCATCTCCCGCAACTCTATTGGATTCCGGCTGATTTCTCCCGGGAAATCTACGAACTCCGTCGAACTCTCTGCCTCTGTTACCGATCTCGAAGCTTTTGTCAGCCATGAATCCAGAGTAGTAAGTCATCTTACCTTTTTTTTCCGTTAAAAGCTTTTGATTTCCAATGGTTATTTGTATCTTATGTGTGATTTACTCGATTCGTCTCCATCAGATCTGCCATATCCTCAATAGGAAATTCCCCAATTTGTTTTCGGCTTTAATACCTTAATTGCAGAAACAGATTTAAGAGCATGATACAGATAGGTTTAGCTATGTTCATTCGGTTTTTGGTAACCTCATACCTCAATCTCCATGTATAAGCTCAACTAGAAAATCCGGCGGATTTCTGCATTTTTGTTTCACTGAGATCTGAAACGCTGAATTTCAGTTCATTTTTTGAGAGAAATAAAAAATAGTATACATTCCAGCTGCAATCAGATGGCTAGTCGTTAAATTCAAGTTTCTAGATACTTGATTTGATAAGTTGAATATATTTAAATGTGATTTGGTACTGAAAAAAGTGATTTGTTTTTTAAAAACAAGTGATTTAAGAAATTCATACAACTGTCACAGAGATTAATATACTTATATATTCTCCCTTCGTCCTAGCCAATTTTGACTTTCACAAATTTTAAGAAAAATGTTGAAAGTTAGAAATTGTATGATTAAAATTTGTTTTGAGTTTTGAAAAGATAGAAATCTTGTGAGCCACATGAGATAAAGTGGATAGTCTTTTTTGGAACGGCCAAAAGTAAAACTAGATAACTTTTTTTTTGGGGACGGATGGAATATATATCCACTTTTACTTACTACATACGGAGTATAATCTAAGAAAAGTATTGTATATAGTAAACATTAAATAGTCATTAAGTTCCTATTATCAATGTGCCCATGAGTACGCTTTCGAAAGACCTTTATTTTAAAGGAAGCATGTGATGCGCCTTAGTGGCATAGTTGGGAGTGTGATGCCATGCCAATAAAAATCCAACACAACATAGTCTTTTCTTACCAGTAATTGGACCAAGTCCCTCCCTTCTGGAAACAGAATTCAGGAAACCTGAAAACTGAGGCAAGAAGAGAAGTCAATGGCATGTTCATTCAAACAGAGCATCACTACATTCACCTTTGCATATATTCATGTTTCATGCAACAGATTATTCTATTTATTTAAGTAAATATCCATTCCTAGATACTGGTCATATGACTCATAATACAAAAGTTTTTTCTTCTATCTTTTGCTCGCCTAGAAGGAATTTAGTGCTGATATGTTATTGCATCTTGGAATACAGAACTCTTCTTCTTAATCAAGTCATGTAATTGATTGTACTGTTTTTTACGGAGTATGTATTTAGCTTAGGAAAGTTAATAATGCTGTAAGGTCAACAGGTTTTCATGGGCATCAAAATTTGTGATTGTTGATGGATAAAACCTACTCCCTCTGTCTCATGATTTGGAAGTAGAGAAACTGTTTCCAAAAAGTATAGTCTTAACTATGAATAGTAATTGTAAAGTCCATTCGAAGGCAGATGATTTAGTTGCTTTACCGGCATTAATCTCTCTTCATTCAGGAAGATACTGATGAGGTCCCAATTTCAGAAATCGCCTCTTTTGTTTTCTAGTGTTCTATTATATGATCATTGAGAGAGATAAAATGTTTAAGTTCTCATTCTTTTTTTTTGATACTTTTCATAAGCTATACTTTACAAATAATGATGAGCCATGACAATAAAACTATGACCTATGAAGAAGAATTGTGAAACAACATTCTTCTCTTTCTTTTTTTCTCTTGCTTTTGAAGACTGGAATTTAGATCTCTAATTTCCTGAAAAAGCAAAATGACCAAAAAATCAATGTTACCTTCAGTGAAACTGTAAAAATTGATCCTCCTATACTTAATAAAGCATCTTGTTTTATGGGATCACCAAATTGCAGCCGCAGTGATAAAAGAAACCTACAATTTCAATGCATCTCTTCTGTTAATTAGGAATTTCAATTATCATGTGACTGATAAGTAACTGTTCTGGATTTAACTAACTATTTTTATATTCCTCTTTTTTCTTAAATGTATTTATCAATGTTTTCTTAAGAAGCAAATTCAATGGCATGTTCATTCAAACAGTGCATCACTACATTCACCTTTGCATATATTCATGTTTCATGCAACAGATTATTCTATTTATTTAAGTAAATATCCATTCCTGGATACTAGTCATATGACTCATATTACAAAAGTTTTTTCTCCTATCTTTTTCTCGCCTGGAAGGAATTTAGTGCTGATATGTTATTGCATCTTGGAATACAGAACTCTTCTTCTTAATCAAGTCTTGTAATTGATTGTACTCTACTTTATGGAGTATGTATTTAGCTTAGGAAAGTTAGTAATGCTGTAAGGTCCTGGTCAACAGGTTTTCATGGACAACAAATTTTGTGATAGTTGATGGATTAAACTTACTCCCTTCGTCCCATGACTTGGAAGTAGAGAGACTGTTTCCAAAAAGATAGTCTAACCTATTACTAGTAATCGTAAAGTCCATTCGGATGCGGTCAGAGTATTTAATTGCTTTACCGGCATCAATCTTTCTTCACTCATGAATATACTGATGGGGTCCCAATTTCAGAAATCAAGCTCTTTTGTTTTCTAGTGTTCTAATCTATGATCATTGAGAGAGATAAAATGTTTAAGTTCTCATTCATTTTTTTTGATACCTTTCATAAGCTATACTTTACAAATAATGATGAGCCGTGACTATACAACTATGACCTATGAAGAGGAATTGTGAAACAACATTCTTCTCTTTTTTTTTTCTCTTGCTTTTGAAGACTGGAATTTAGATCTCTAATTTCTTGAAAAAGCAAAATGACCAAAAAATCAATGTTACCTATAGTGAAACTGTAAAAATTGATCCTCCTATACTTAATAAAGCATCTTGTTTTATGGGATCACCATATTGCAGCCGCAGTGATAAAAGAGACCTACAATTTCAATGCATCTCTTCTGTTAATTAGGAATTTCAATTATCATATTACTGATAATTAACTGTTCTGGATTTACTAACTATTTTTATGTTCCTCTTTTTGCTTAAACTTAAATGCATTTTTCAATGTTTTTTTAAATGTGCAGTGACTATCTGTTTAAGCTTCTGCTTATAGGAGATTCTGGTGTAGGGAAATCATGTCTTCTTCTTAGATTTGCTGTAAGTTCTTTTCTTGTTGCCTTTGCTCATGTCCAATATTTATGGTTTTTCAATACTAGCTGAGAGCCTTCTTCCTTTTTTCAATGCGGGGTAAGTTTTACCATATTTCCATGTTCAAGAAAATATTGTGCAGTTTTTCACTTTTTAGGTGGATGTTTTCTATTGCACAAAATATTTTGAAGTCATTATGAATAGTGACTAGACTCTTATTACTCCTTCCATCCCAAATTGATCTCGGTTGGAATTCTAAACTTGGAAGTTGGAAGAAATTGGAAAAAGTTGGAAGAATGTGGAAGGAGTTGGAAAATGTTGGAAAAAAATAGTGTTAAAAAATTACTCAATTAAATGACCATCCAAATAAATAAGTAAGAAAACTAATTTTGAAAATAAAAAAGGAATTCATCTTTGTCCATGTTTGAGGTGTTATGTTATAAATTTGGATATGTAATGCTATTGTATGGTCATCATACTTAAATACATTTTTTAAGTTGTAGGAAGAAGTTGGAAGAAACTTGAAGGAGTTGGATAAAATTGGATGTTAATTTTCCCAACCGAAAAGATCATACCCCAAGGGTGAAACGAAATCATTTATATGCGCATACCTACTTTTTGGGGTTTAGTAAAAGTGAAGTATAAAGAACCAAGTATGTAGGTTGTTGAGGATAAAAGTGTCTTGTATAAAGATGAAATGGAAGTTCATACCAAAAAAAGAAACAGGAAAATCATTTTGAGACGTCCAAAAAAGAAAAGTGAAAAGATAATCTTGGGATGGAGGGAGTATGTGTTAATCTCTTTAGCTAATTTATCATGTATCTACAACCACAAACATGGGTATTGCTTGCTACCCTTTTTCTGTCATGTTCTGCAGTTATGGTTTGCTCAAGTGCACAAGAATAACATTTTAGTTAAATCTCGGTGTGTTACTATTTTATTCACCTCTAATATGATTTTCCAGGATGATTCGTATCTTGAAAGTTACATAAGTACCATTGGTGTGGACTTCGTAAGTATCTTACAAAGTTCTGCTCATATATCCATCCATTCACACAAACATACAGATGTTTTTAACAGTCCAATTGTTTTTGTATGTAGAAAATCCGCACGGTGGAGCAAGATGGGAAAACAATCAAACTTCAGATTGTAAGATTGTCTGTTTGAGACTTTGAGAAGAAATTCTGCACTTCCTTATTTATGCTCTTCATATTCAGTTGCTTTTAAATTTTTTATCCACTCCACCGCTGCGTCTGTTTTAAGCCTAATCAAATTCTCTTTCCTTCCCGTTGTGCATGTAGTGGGACACAGCTGGCCAAGAACGTTTCAGGACAATTACGAGCAGTTACTACCGCGGGGCTCATGGCATTATTGTACTTATTCTCATCTCCAGTTGAATTGCAACATTGATGCTTCACTGTTTCGTTTGCCCCCCCCCCC